CCATTCCCCGAGTGGCCATACCCTTGAGCTCCAGTAGCTGCCCTGGGCATCCAGTTGGGGGCCCCTGCTGCTCCTCAGGGAGCTGAGTCCCAGCCCCACTGGCTGATATTGCCCCCAAGGCCCAGGATACCTGGAGGAACAGAAATGTGAGCAAGGCAGTGAGGGGCAGCCAAGGAGCAGGGTGTGGTGCTGAGGACAATATGGAGCCACCATGTAGCCACCAGCTCTGGTAATCCACAACTTTCAGTGGCTTTGGGCCCCTTGGGGTATCATTCAGTGGGCCCGGGATGGAGCCCATGAATCAGGAGGACTGTGGGCAAGAATGTCATCTATCTCCTCTGGGCTTCTTGACAGTCTTGTGAGGGATTCACTGTTACCCCAATTTACACAGGACAAAAATGAGACCCAGAAGTGGGGTAACACCCTGTATCACAGGAGCTATTCTGGTTCCAGAACCTACAACCTCTGTTAGAATAGGCAGCTCCCTAGGACTGGAAAGGGAGAAAGGTGGGGTTCCCCAAGGGAAGAAGAGTGACTGGACTGCCAAGGAAGCACACACTGGAGACGGAGCAGGTGGTCCTGACCTGGCCCTGGGCCTCGCTCAGTGAACCCTGACAGCTCTGGGTAAAGGTGCTGACCAGGCCTCGGAGGTCACCGCAGCCCTGACGCAGGCTGGCCATGCGTGCCCGAAGTCCTGGTGAGGGAAGGTGGTTATGAGGGAAAGCCCAAACCCCATGATCTTCCCATGAAACCCCCTACCCCCCGCCCCAGGTCTTACCTGCCAGCTGCCCATGCACCTGCTGCAGCTCCCTTCTGCAACTCTGCTCGGTCTCCTGCTGGAGCTGCCGGAGGGCCCCCCGAAGGCCCTGCAGCTGCACTTCCTGCATCCCCAGCTGCCCCACCCCACCCGTCACTGAGGAAATAGGCACTTACCAGGCCTTGCCTCAAACACCTCCCCTCCCAGTGCCTCAGTCTTCCCAGCCCTTGGGCCCAGTACCCACCTGGACTCGGAGAGCTTCTGTGGCGTCCTGGGCCTCCTGAAGCTGGCCTTGGAGCTCCACCAGTGCCTCTGCCTCCTCCTGCAGGAGGGGCGAGAGCCACTTGAGCTATGGAGCCAGGAGGAAACTTGGGGAGGGGCACTCTAGCAGCCCCATTTCACACGAGGGGAAGTCAGGTCAAGACAGACAGTTAAAACCAGTCATGAATCCCTGTACAGCTTTTCGCCAAGTCCATTGCTCGCCTGGGATCAGTTACTCAGAGGAACCATGGGGGTATGGGGGGGGGGGCGGTTATTCTCCCATGGGCACCAGTCTCCTTGATGGGGCTGTCCTGGGCCTATCCACAGTCCTGGCCCTGGAAGGTCAGAGACAGCCCCACGCCTGTTCCAAAGAGCACCAAGCCCTGAGGGAGCCAGGTGTGCAGGAGCCCCAGACTACAGAAATAGTAGCAGTTAAGCAGCAGAATACCTGGGGGACCCTGGTAGGGAGGCCAGGACCCCAGTGCCTCAGGAGGTCCCGAATGAGGATCAGGCTCTGTTTCAGGGTCTCATTTTCCAGGGTTAGATGCTGAATGCTTTTCTCAGAGTCTGTCGCCCCCTAAAGAAGAGGAAGGCCTCTGGACTCACCTGAAATCCCTGGCCCTTTTCCTGTCCCCTGCTTGAGTCAGGCCCAGGAGCCTCACCACTCCTAGGCAAAGTGGGCCCAGCCCCTCCTCCTGCAGATCCAGCTGCTGCTTCAGATCCTCCAGCTGGGAAGGAGGAAGGGGACAGGGTGGAACATCTCCTTCCAGCCTCCCCAGAGACCACCACCGGGACCCCTCACCTGTCCAAGACCGAGCTGCCCCGGCCGCTGCCAAGCCCTGTGGTCCTCCTCCAGCTGGGGGGGCTGTTGCCCCTGGGCCTCAGCCCTCGGTGAAAGGGAAGGGCTTTCTTCTTGGGATGTGGGTCCTGGGGTGGGGTGCACCCAGTTAGGACAGGTTCGGTTTCCTGCCTGAAGCGGGGACACCTCGGGAACAGGGCTTGGAATGCTGTACTCCAGGCTGCCCAGGTTCTGGTAGGCCTCTCCCCTCCACACATTCCCTTCTCAACTCATTGCTTCTCACGCACCAGCAGGAGTTGGTGGCTGAGTTCCCTGGGGTAGGGCATGCTTTCCCCTGGGGTTCCGAATCCAAGACAGGAGGGCCAAGAGCTGACCAATCACCATCAACAGTGGAGGGACATCACCAGACTGTGAAGGATAAAAGCATCAAAGTGCAAGAGACTAAGGGGGCCCAAGGGTGTGGAAGCCAGGGCTGGGGAGAAAAGGCGGATTTCTGGAGAAGGATCCTTGGTTGGCTCTCAGCCCACCTCACCTTACTCAGATCGATAGAATACCCGCAGCTCTCTTCCGCCCCCAGCTGGACTGAGAGAAACTCGGCAAGACGCACAAGAGCCTCTTCCAGGGAGACCTCGGCTGGGCGGCCCTCAGCTCCCCGTTCTGGCCCATCTTCGGACTCCCAGCAGCCTGCAAAGTCAGGTAGTGGGAGGGGGAGGCGTGCTGGGTCACGTGCTGTAGGCTAGGCTACCAGATGGCACCGGTCCGGTCTCCCTCCCAAAGAGGTCACGGACACCTCTCCCTCTCTCGGACCGCAGGGTTCTCTCATCGCCTGCGGGACGCAGCGCTCCCGACTCATGACAGCACCTACCTACCAGGCCGGTCAGCTCGGTCCACAGCTCTGCAGGTGACTGGCCGGAATGGCGGCGATCCCCGGGCTTGCAGCGGGCACTCTATGGAGGGAGCAGGGGAAGCACCTGAGAGGCCGCGCAGCCTCCCTCAAGGAACTGGGACAGAGGGTCTCTGCCTGCAACACCTGAGCAGAAACAGGGTCCTCTGCACGGCCCCCTCCACAGCGTCAGCGCCCGGGTGACCTAAGCTGCGCGGGCCTGCACAACCCGCTCTCATAAAGGGGGTCGCCGGCCGTGCCGCGTCGGCCCCCGCTCACCTGGGCGGTGTCCCCGGAGTCCGCGGACGCCGCGGTCCCTCCATCCCTGCGGAAAAGGCTGTAGAAGATGTAGATGAGCAGCGAGTAGAAGGCGTACATGGGAGCGCGGGGCGGCAGAGGGCCTGGCTCCGTGCCGCCCCGCGTTCCGGGGCCCGCACTCCGAGCCCGACCGCAGCACAGCCCGTGCGCATGCTCCGAGCGGCCGCCCCCACGACCGGGCTCCCGCGGGCGTAGGGCGCG